CAAAAATAGTAGCTGTGCATTAATCGCATAAAGTATCTGCTAGTTGATGCAGCAGACAAAACCTACAATGGAATGGATTGAAACAACAAAGGTTCATTTCTCATATACATAAAATCTGATGTAGGTAGGCAGGGGTCTCCACTGACAGGTGATCCAGGGATACAGGCTGCTTCCAACATGTAGCTCTACATCTCAACACGGGCTCTTGATGGCTTATATTTCAGTGGCAAGGGCAGTCACATGATCCTTCCTCATTACGGGTGGCCTGGGCAACATAGTCTCCCCAAGAGCCCAGGAAGGGGAGCAAGACACTACGTGGATGAGCATGTACAGTCTCTCCCATAAACTGTTACATAATAGGTGCTTGATACAAGAGCAACTATTAGAATCTATTATGAAAACGGCTGTCTTTATTTCTTTTTAAAATTTCTTATTTTAAATTATTATGGGTACATAATAATTTTATGTATTTATAGGGTCCATGTGCTGTTTTGATACTTTGAGAGATGAGGAAGAGAGAGCAGGAATGAGCCTGGTAATGTTGTGACTCTTGCAGATTCCTGATGATACCACTTTGTTGGACTTAGGTAAGATAGGGGAGAGTTCCCTGTATTACTAGGCAAAGTCTCTCTGTTCCCTCACTCTTCATGCTGGGATTCTGGAGCTGGGAGAGGAGTGATGTGGGCACTCCCTCATGGCCACCACAGCTGGTACTGCACCAGGTCACGCCTGAAGCTAGCTCAGTCTTCCCGAAAGCCTGTGGTGACCACTTCCTGGCTACCTGTGATGTTTACTCAAGGCCCAAGGGCTGTTTAGTCAGCAGGTGGTGAATCCTGGCAGGACTGGGTCCTTCCCTTTGAAGTAGCACGTTCCCTTCTGTCCCAGGGTGTGTCTTGAAATACTGTCCAGGAACTAAGGCCTGGAATCAGGGGCTTAGGAGTCTGCTCGGTACTTTATTTTCCTGTGACTGAGCTGGTACCCAAGCTACAAGACAGATTCCTTTGTACTCTTCATTTTCCTTTCCCCAAGTGGAATAAGACTCTCCCTGAGCTGCACTGCCAGGAGTTGGGGTAGGGGTGACACGGGCACTGGCTTGGCCATTGCCATGGGTGTCTCACTGAGTCACATGCACCCCAAGTCCACTGGCTGTGAGCCAGCACAGCCATAGGAATTGCCCAATGACTTCAGACTTTGTGGCCTGACTGCCTTTTAAATTTATTCCAGGCCCCAGACTGCTTTTGTCAGCTGGTGGTAGAGCTAGCCAGAACTCAGGTTTCTACCACTGGGGCAGAGCATTGTCCTTTGGCTGGGCTGGTCCAGATACTCCCTCCGTGGGCACCGGCAGAATTCTCCCCTGTGCTTTGTTCCCCTGTGATGGGGCAGCCCGGAGTTCCAATGAAAAGTCCCACAGTCACTTCTCTCTCCCTCTCCTGGGCACACAGATTCTCTCTTCACCTTGTGCTGGCGTGGCATTGCCAGGGGTTATGGGAAGGGTGGGGTAGGGAATGCAAGACTGTCTTTCTTGCCCTCTTCAGTGCCTTTTCCCCTGATATTAACATCATGTTAAAATCAGGTACTGTGACTGCTCACCTGATTTTTGGTTCTTCTGAAGGTGCTTTCTTGCATGGACAGTGATTGAATTTGGTCTTCCTGCGGAGGGGCAATTGCTGGAGGGTTTTATTTGGACATCTTTCTCTGCCCACTACAACACTCTTCGTTTCTTGGTGGAGTTTGTAAGGAGGCAAATTTGTCTTGCAGTTCTTCAACATTTTTGTCAGTCTCCTGTATCACAGGTGCTTTCAAATAAAGGATCTCATTTAATTTTCAAAAGGCCCCAGAAAAATCTCGGCAGGGAGAGTTCACCTTTTTCACTCAGTAGCACCTTTCTGCACTGACCTCACTGCACTGAGCATCGGTGGGATGATAAAGTGCTCCTTTCTATTTGTGCACGGTCACAGTCTTAATTTAAGAACGCTGGAAACCTAAACATGACTGACTGTGCATTTACAGGTGCCATTACTCAGAAGGAAAAATCAAGATTTTCCTCTGGGGCAGGTATTGACATAAGAAGCAGCAGAAGGGTGGTGAATTATTTTTATATTTTCTGTTTTAACATAGCATGTCTTCCAAGAAGTCATTTTTCCCTTCTCAGAAGGACTCTGGGGATGGGGGTTGAGGAATTTGGCCCCAGTAGATGTTTATGGTGATTTCTGTGGTCTTTCGTCATCTCAAACTTATGAGGGTGGCTTTGGTTTTTGACAATCTAGGTAAACTCACCCATTGGCATATTTGTTCAGGGGCAAGTCTCAAATAGCACACTCCTTTAAAATCCTTCTGAGAACATTTAGGTTGTTTACGAAACCCTCCCTCCAACTTCAGTTACATTCCAAGGATCAGTATATTCTGTGCAAAATCAGAAACCAGACTCTAATCACCAGCTAATTTGGAATATACTTTGAGACTATTGCCATGATGTAGGGTGGGAGGGGGGCTATGGTAATCAGAAACCTCAACTTCACTGTCAGGAGTTCCACCTAGAGGAATGGGACATCCAAGGGACATTTGCAAGGCGTGGAATGCTTTAAGTCAAGGGGCGGGGAAGTGATTCTGGGCTGCCTGTATCACAGAAAGCAAGGGCACAGCCTTTAGAGAAGTCAGTGAAGCACTGGTTAGCAGATGAGGTGCCAGTTTGCACACGAAGACACAGCCGGGAGTACCCAGGGGGGAGGTGCTGTAATGAGAGAAAGTGCTGGTACAAGACTTATGTGCCCGTACGTGGGCAGAGTTTACTCTGAAGGAAACCGGGGGCTAGGGACAGGAGGATACTCAGAAAATGAAGCCCACAATCCCCAATTTATGCTTTATTCTCATATTCATCATCCTTCTTTAGGTCCGTTTTTAGTACTTTGGCTAGAGAATCCTTTCTTTTTAATCATCTGTAATAGATTTTGCAGTAGTGAGAATAATAGCGAATTAAGACACAAAAAACCTGCTTCAGGTTAGGAGTGGAAAAGTGTGGGCTCTATATAAATTCTGTCTATATTAGACCAGGGGTGTAGACCCAGCTTTGTCACTTATCAGCCATGTGAACTTAAGAAAATTACAAGTTCTGCAAATATGTCTGGTAAACTCAATCTTGCAGGACTGTTGGAATCTATGTAATGGATATGAAGCACTTAGCAGAGTGATGGAAAATATTGGGTCTTTAACTAATGGCAATTATCGTATGATTATTTTTACCACAGATGATACCACCCTCCCCTCTAGGGAGATTTATTTTTATTAATGAAGGAGAATATGTAGTTATCTAGGAAAATTAATACCAAATCAGCCTATAATGCTATTTAGCAAGTAAAACTAAATAAAATTTACCTATTTGAGGATGTTACTAAATTTGCATGTGGAGGGGGGTCTTCTCCAGTTGGATGCAACCAAAGGTCCTAGAATTTTTGTCAAGGGTCAGACTTCCCTCCCAAGTGGCTTTTTATCCAAACCACCCCTATTTTCATTCATTTTGTCATCATCGAATACGGAGCTCTCCCTTATTGTCTGCTAAATCACACTCAAGATAACTTAATTAAAATGCTCTTTTAAGGCATTGGGATCTGGCTCTCTCAGTTCCGGGCAAAGAGAGCCAACACAGCAGCTTCTTGGCATTTCACTTCAAGGGAGTTTCACCTTTATTTCCCAAAAATTCCCCGGAGACTGCACATAAAACAATTACATTTTGCTATGTGTTCAACTGAATGTGAACCGGAGCACAAGATACCATCCATTTCTGACCCAGGAGGAGGTTTTCCTCTGGTTTATTGATGATACCATAGTAACTCTCAAGAGCAAATTTTCACTCTAAGGTTTTGTCCTTCAACACTGAGACACACCCTCTGAGTGTCTGGCCTCTGCTCCCCAGTTCCACAGCTTCATCTATTCCACCACCCACCTCAAATTAAAATTATATCTTACTAAGGGACTTTTGGTTTCCAAAAGCCCCAAAGGTCCTTTCCTCAGGGAATTTGGACTTTATTGTTTTCAGCCAGAAACCCTCCCTTGTACTTTCCCCAAATCCTTCTCTACCTCCTTAGTTCTTCTTCTTACTTGTCCGTTAGGTCTCTGAATTATTTCACCATTTTCCCTATATGATTACTGCTCCTTGACTATAAAACTCTAAGCATGGGTGGGTGTTTGGTATCCTAGTTTCTCCATTTCTAACAAAATGACATTCAAAAAACATGCACAATTAATATTTGGGGAATAAATGAGCCAGTGAGCATAAATTTTAATTTATAAACAATTTATTTTTTCCTATATTCATTAATAAGATAAGCCAATCCATGTATGAATATTTTATTTTTATGGAACCTACTAAAATGGGTGAAGGAAACCAAGAACTGAACATATTTTACTTTTTTCTCCTCTATTTTTTTGATACCCCAAATTTTGCTGCTAAATTCATTCACGTTTTTAAGGAAACACCTCTTCTAATGTCACGTTTCTTTGTTCTGATTCACCAAATATGAAAGAGGGTTTCCCAATTTGTTTTACAAAATAATGAAACTCCTACTCTTAACAGCAAAAAGAAAATGTGTAACCAATGTCATTAATAAATTTACATTCTCAAGTTACTGAAACCTCATGTTAAAAGAAACAACACTTGAAACATAACATGAAAAAGGAAGAAACAGAAAGATAAAACTCCAAGTTATCCATATACAACAAGAACACAAAGATGATATATACTGCGTTCCTTCCAGGGCCACCCTGGCCATTCACTACTTAGAATATTGATTGCCCTTTTCTTCCACAAAGAAAATAATCTTCAGACTTCAACATTTGAAATATAACCTAGAAAGAAAAATAAAGAAAGATAAAACTCCAATTACCAATATAAACAGGAACACAAAGATGACATACACTCATTCCCTCCTGCCCCAGCATGGCCCTCTGCTATTAGAACGTTGACAGACCTTTTCAACTGAAGGGTGAAGAAACAGCCTCGGATTTCACTTAGCATGGGAGAAGCTGCTGGACTTGGTCTTGGAACGTGCAATGGCCATGGTAGAAGGACGAGACCTGGCTGCAACTCTGGCTCGGGCTCTCTCTTCCTCATCTCTCAAAGCATCTTCATACCAGGATGGGAAGGCACTCGGGACGGTATTATGGATCTTGGCTAAAAACTCCAGGACTCTCATCTTGCTTGTTTCAGCGTAGGCTCTTGGACCCCACAGGAATTCATAGCATGGGGGATCACTATTGGGCACCTGCTGGCACTCCAGGTACTTGAGCTGCACCAAATCTTCGGTGATAACCTTCCTGGGATCCCCATAGATGAAATGCTTCTTATCAGCATATACACCCATCACATTCAGCACTTCCCAGATCTCTTCTTCGGGGGCACAGTTGCCTTTCATGAAGATCACACCCAGCACAATCATCAGGAGGCCAGTCTTGGAGGCCATGTTCTCTTCATCACTCATTGCTCCATCAAGGGTGAGGTCTAGTTTGCTCACAAAGGCATAGCAGTGCCTGATGGGATCCACTTCCTTCAAATCAACACCAAAGGCCAGCTCCATGTGCTCAGAGGCTCTTCTGAGGATCTCACTGAAGTGACACTTGTAGGTCTTGATAACAAACTTCAGCATCTCTGCCTTCGTAATTGGCTCTTTGCTTTGATACTTCTGCATCAGGTACTGCACCAACAAAACCACTTTCTTGTTTAAAGGATCTTTGTCGAAGCTTTCAATTCCCCTTAGGGAACTGGGACTTTTCTCATCTTGGCTGTTGTCACCTTCATTTGAATTAGTGCATGAAACAGCTGCAGTAGTATTGGTGGTGGATGTGGTTCCCTGAAGGACCTTAGGAATTATGGGTATCTCAGAAGCAGGCAAATTCTGAGATCTACCTCCAGAGAGAAGAGAGGCAGGAGAGGGGGACTCTCCTTCTGCTGCAGTGGCCTGAGCACCTTCCAGATCCTGGTTCTCACCACGGGCCTGGCGGCGTTTCTCACGGGCACGGAGCTTACTCTTTCGACCTCGAGGCATGATTACCCTGGTCAGGGACAGCAGGCAATAACGTAGGCAGTTGGGCTGATGAAGAGGTCACCCTAGAAGATGGAGGATGAGATAGTGTACATGGCCTTGGTAGAGAGATTCTACCTTGGCTCCAAGAATGGCTGCCTCTGTTGGTTCTCCTGAGGGCACTGCTTTGGGAAGTCACAAGGCAGGAGTGGGGTGGGACTCTGTTCTGAGGTAGCTTGTCACATCAGTTCTAACTCAGAATATTAACTTTACTCCCGAACAGTCCTTTGGCTCCTCCCTCCGCTAACTTGAGCCTGTCCGCTTCAGATCATGGCTTCCCATCCCACAGATGCCCAAGAGGAAACAAAAGGACGCGAGGGGCCGTTAGGCCTAACAGATGTGCTTCGGGCCACCCAGGGTTGATAGTGGGAGCAGGGTGGGGCAGAGTAGGGTGGATCTCTGTGGGGCTGCCTCTGTTGTGGGAGAAGTGTATCCCCGAAGTTCTAACAAAGGATACTCACCTTCACACCTGCGGGTTCCTGGGATTTCTTGCTCCGGCCACACCTCTCAGACGAAGGCCTCACCCCCAACGGTCTGGTGAGGCGGAAGTCAGAACAAGCCACTTCCGGCCACACCCACCGGCCCTCCTAGAACCACAGCAGAAGCAGAGCTCTAGCAGTTCTCTGTTTTGGGGACGGAAGATTGGATGAGAACCTACATACGGTCCTTTCTTTGTCTTTTCGCAGGCGGTGAGTCTTCTCTCTCTGCCGAACTGAGTCAGTAAGCCTCAGACCAAGGATTTGGTTTCCCTGAGAATCCAGGGTAGGGAGTAAGGTGGATCCTGAGCCCAGAAGCCATGCCTGTGACCTCCCAAGATTGACAGTAGGGGTGGAGCTCTGCGGGGTCCCTGTTGCTGGGTAAATAGTGCCCTCAGAGTCCTCACTCAGTGTCTTGCTTTGACTCTTTGTAGCTGCTGGGCCACCTCCCCTCTGCTAACTTGAGGCCAATCCCGTGAGGTAAGGCAGTAGTTCTCTAAATAAGGAGAATTGACATTTGTACAATATTGTGTTCACCATGAATCAACATAGTATATTGCTCTATTTGGAACATATTTTATGTAAATCTATCAGAAAATTTTTATATTTGTTTCAATAAAGCTTGTGTATATTTTCGTTAAGACTCTTTTTAGGTATATTTTGGATGTTGCTGCTGTTTTGAGTGGGATATTTTCCATTACATTTTCTAATTAATACTTGTTTTGTGTGATTAGATTCCTGATTTTACTGTTGTGATCTTCTGCACCAGCTTTTTGAAATTCCTAATACATTTGAACATTTTGTAAGCTGATTTTTGTAGAATTTTTAATTAGAGGATGATATTATCTCTTTATTTTCATTTTTCATAACTTTTCTCTGGTATTCTTGTGTATGGCTATATACTGGCTGTGCAATCCAGTTCCAATTTGACCAGTAGAATTGGTATTATACCTCCGTGTCTTGTCCTGGACTATCAGGAATGCTGCTAATATTCCACATTTATGTATGTTTGCTGTTGATTTTATGATATGGAAATTCCATTCTAATGTAAGTTTGCAAAATTTATTACCATGAACTGGTGTTGAATTATTACCAAAGCTTGTCCTTCATCCGTACACATGATCAAATGCTTTCTCTTCTCTGTTACCATAGTGGATTCCAATTAGCATTTTTTCTAATGTAATTTGATCTCTGCATTTCTTAGACATAGCCTATTTCTCAGTTGCTTCACTGCTGTATTATTCACTGCTATATTAAATATGCTATAAATTTGTTTAGAATATTTGTCTTTATATGAGTGAGCTTGGCTCAAATGTTCTTTTCTTGGAGCATCCTCATCTAGTTTTTTATCAATGACAGCTAGCCTGTTAAACTGATCAAGTAATTTCCTATCTTCTTTTCTGTTTTGTAAGACTTTTCTTAATGTGTTGATGAGTTTTTCCTTCAGCGTTTGCTGTAATGGGCTTCCAAGCCTGGCTGGTCTTGGAAGATTTTGTGAGTGCTCAGGGCTGGACTACAGTGTCAGTTTGTATTGCGTAATTAAAGTTTTCTATTTCTTTATCAGCATACTTATTAATTTATATTTTTGTTAAAAATTGTTCTATTTTACTTGAGTTTTCAAATCAAAGTCATTTGATTACATAAATTCTCAATCATATAAACATTACAGAGAGTAGGATAATAACCCAATGTACTTGACACTCAGCATGATAATCTTCAGTAGTTATATTGAGAAAGTTGTTCATATTAAGGTTTATTTATTTATTCATCTGTTAGCAAGACCACCCCAGAAGTGATGCTATGCACTTCCATCAGGAGATGCATGGTGTGGGTTCTTTCCTTTGTGGTGATGTTGCAATCACTCAGGATCATCACCCTCACCCATTAATCTATAAAGGGCTGCAGAATTGTAATTCTCTAATTCTATCATTACTTTAGAGATTATTGGCTGAAATATATCCATAAGGGAGAATATTTTGTTAACCTCCATTTGGTTTTCTTACAGTCGCCCCATTTTACTGCCCAGAGAGATAAAGAAAACTAAATCTCTATCTAAATAATATCAGAAAACTCTTTTTTTTTTTTTTTATTTGAGACAGAGTCTCACTCTTTTGCCCCGGCTAGAGTGAGTGCCATGGTGTCAGCTTAGCTCACAGCAACCTCAAACTCCTGGGCTCAAGCGATCCTACTACCTCAGCCTCCCGAGTAGCTGGGACTACAGGCATGCGCCACCATGCCCGGCTAATTTTTTTATATATATATTTTTAGTTGTCCAGCCAATTTCTTTCTATTTTTAGTAGAGACAGGGTCTCTCTCTTGCTCAGGCTGGTTTCGAACTCCTGAGCTCAAACAATCTGCCTGCCTTGGCCTCCCAGAGAGCTAGGATTACAGGCGTGAGACACCACGCCCGGCCCAGAAAATTCTTTATTCCAAAAATTTTAAAATATATTTTTATACTTTTCACTAATAAAAAATCTTGCCTGAGAATGAAACCAGTTCATAACTCGTTAAATATCTCAACTATTATTAAAGATTATTAATGAGAAGTTTGGAATAATCAATGTTCAGGCTCTAGTCTTTGTAACATGATATATTACTTGTGCCTACAGATAGTCATAATTTTAGAAAATACAGAAAATTTTACTATGATTTTTTAAAGATACCTTTCTTTGAAGGAATACAGTTTCTTTGTTTTTTTCTACATAGCTAAGCAGTCAGTATGCCAGTTGGGTTTTATTATTACCTTTATAAATTCTAATGTGGATATGCTAAGTGATGTGAGTGCTGTTATTATCTTAGCTTGTATGTATGTAGACCTAAAAAATGAATGGGGCACTCTTCCCTCTGGATTAACAAACTTATTCAATATAAGGCTGTTCCAATGGACTTTATATGGAGACTCTTTTCATTAATGTGGCAAATGCAAAAATATTCATTTGTTTGAAGAATTATGCTAATATGTAATCTCAATTTATAAAGGAAATTTTCCAACTTCTCAATTCACTTGTTAGTAAATTAAATATTTAGATTTTTCAATGAATATTTACTTATTGAGCTTGTAACCTTTGGGACATACTTCTAGATTAATAAGCCTGGCAATGTAAAATGCTGTAGAGCAAAGGCATTCAACTGTGGGTAAGGAGGTTTAGGTTCTTGCTCTGGTTTGAATGTGCTCCCCAAAGTTCATGTGTTGGAAACTTAGTCCTCAATGTAACAATGTTGAGCAGTGTGACCCACATGTACTCACCATCAAATTGGTATTAACTAATCAACACTTATGTGTACATATAGTAGTAACATTCATCAGGTGTTGGGCAGGTGGGAGGG